TTATTTCGATTCCTGTGTAAGATATCGAAAATTTGTCAACTGATAAATTATTTATCATAACATAACCAATATTTTTAATGTAAACAAAATTTATATATCCTTTGTGCTAAATCGCACTCTTCTGATGGTGATTCACCGGGAATGTGCATTGCATCCCCCGCAATCACTTTCTTTTATTAAATTCTTTATCATGTAACCAGTATAAAAGCCCCTCTATTGTATCATTCTATATCGTTCGATAAACCAATGTAGTTTTAAAACATGGTGCATCGTGGGTTGAAACCACCGGTCGCTCAAAGTCCCGCGTGGCAGGATTCTACATTGGTACCTCTATTCTCCTATTATTCGCTGTTGGAATATTCACTTCTGTATCGCAAGCGGCATGCAGTACCAGATGATTGGCAGCTCCTGATATAGTCAACAAAGTCATTGGCATACTTGAGACTTGGGGAGCTGGTCGACACAGGATTAGCAGGTCTAAGTCATTCGAACAAAGTGGTCGGGACTTGCTGAGGACGATCACATTTGACGCATCTGAACGAGGACAAGAAAGCTATAAGACAGCGGTCGTAGCACGTCAGATATCAGTTGCACCCGAGCTTGCAGCTCACCTCCGAACAATTTGGATTGTTCAAACCGTAAGTCTTATTTTTATGATAAGCAACAACGAAGAAGAACTTAACTTCTTGCTCCAATTAAAAGTGGACCAACGAGGACGCTTTTCCCGCCCGGAGCCTCTCTCCAAAGAGAGATTTTGATCTTTCATGCTAGACCACCGAGGTGTTAGATCACAAAGACGCGACGTTAACGACATTACGAGACGTATTCAGCAAAATCATGGACCCCGTAGATGTCACACCTTCGAACGCTCGCCAAGACGATACGAGAAAAGACACTAACGACGTGACGCAGAACAGAACTACAAGAGGCGAGTGGACGCCGAAGATGTAGTCACTCAGTTCTTCAGCGTCAATTGGACCAATGGACAACTAATTTTAAATTTTGTTGTATCTTTTTTTCTCTAAAGCCGGGAGTGTGCTAAATCGCACTCTTCTGATGGTGATTCACCGGGAATGTGCATTGCATCCCCCGCAATCACTTTCTTTTATTAAATTCTTTATCATGTAACCAGCATAAAAGCCCCTCTATTGTATCATTCTATATCGTTCAATAAACCAATGTAGCTTCTAAAACATCTTTCACAAGAATCGATTTAATTGAGCTGAAAGTTGGCAGTATACTTGAAAAATTGTAGTCGAAACTCACTTTGTATCTGCTTTGTAATCATGTAGAAGTTTTACAGCCAATATATCATCTGAAGCCAATTCATGAACATGTATCAATGATGTTACATAAAACCATCCCCGAATTTCATGAAGAACATCAATATCAAATTTTTTATGTCCTTGAAATTCTCCAAATCAAAATACTAACTTTGGAGGAGCCGTGATTCTTGCATTTTCCACTAAAGAATAAGTACGACGGGAGCAAATACTGAGTATAAAAATTTCCGAGTACTCCGATAATTCAGTCACAACCATTTCGCCAACTAAATGAGGAAGTTTGAGAAGGTTGATGGGCATTCTGAAAATAAAAGTTTTCAACGATTTCAGAGAGGGATAGATTGGCAAAACGGTCCAAATCTATTTTTAGGAGCAGGGTCTTCTGTCGACCCGTATGAAAATAGGGAACAAAGAAGGGAAACATTAAAACTAAACAGACTGCAGGTAATACGATTCAAAAGAAAATACAGTTTCCATGGCAGATAATCAATTGCCGTATGTAAAAAGAAAAGAGTGGACAACAGTGACGTTATGGACCATGGAGTGTCTCATTCAAATGGTTGATTCTCCGGTGACGGTGCGGAGCTCCTGCGGGGACACATCATACGAACAGACCTCTCTCCACAGGTGTTCAACTCCACGAGGGACTACCATGAACGAAATTTCTGATCCAACGAATCATACGTGCTCTATTTGTATCCCAATCCCTCAAGTTCTTTCATCAAATAACTGTTATATGTTTGTAAAAAAACCCATCTGTTTATATTTCTTTCTGAAAACAGTCGTCCCCTAAACGTCACAGCTTCATCCGATTCGCCGAACGATGTCTCTCCAATGGACAAGAAGACAACATAGCCAGTTTGCAACGAAGCTTCTCCTTCCTCCGTCCACCAGAAAAGAAAAAAGAGGTGCGAACGAAGAACAGACAGTAATTCAGTGCCTTCTCCTCCCAATGATCTTTTTATCCACTTGTCCTCCTCTATCTGATCACACAATTCTTCTTCTCCCTTTTTCTCCCTTCTTTTTCATCTTCCAAGCCGTCTCTTTTCTCCCGAAATCCGACTTGTCGTTTTCTATGTTTATTTGGGTCATTCGCATTTTTCGACATATCTATCTCTCGTGGTCATTCGGGGCGCCAAATTTCCACTCTGTTTTGCAGCATCTGATTATATTGATTATCAATATTTGCTTATCATTCTCTCCTCCTCTTGTCCACTAACGTCTTCTTTCTTCTCCATTCTACTCTCCAATCCAAAAATAACTTCTTGTGTACCTGTCACTCACATTGATAAGTGAGAATGTGTGTAGTGATATGGATTATTATACACAAATCCAATTTTCCAGAGCATGCTACTACTATAATACTAATAAATATCTCGCGACATTTTTTTCCTTCATATCACTTTTCATTTTTGATTTCCCACCAATTTTTTGTGACTCCACTTTTTTTTGTTTAAAATCAAATCAGAAGACCTTATGATAACAGGACAGCAGAAAACAAGAAGAACACATGGTGGTGTGTGACGTGTCCCTGGGATTTTCGGGATATTACAGGAGTCATTGCTCATGCATTTTGTTTTGGTTCTTTTTCTCAAGAAATTTCTTTTCAAAATCTGATTTTTTGATTTTCTAAATTCCTTCATTCTTTCAAAATAGGATACTGTAAAACCTATGGTCCCTTATTGTCAATTTTGAGCTCAATTATCTTGGCTTCTATAAGAGATATCAAAAATGTGTCAACTGATAAAATGTTTAGGATATTATATTGAACAATTTATCAGTTGACAACTTTTAGATATGTTTTACAGGAATCGAGATAAATTGACTCAAAGTTAAAAGTTATGATGCTTTTCTATTACAGGGTGGCTGAAAAGTATTGAGACACTTGTTATGATGGCTCTTGGCACCGTGCCAAGTCGTATTTTCAAAAAGTTTCGTATTATTCCGAAAATAGGGAGCGTATATAAGCCGACATTAGAGCCATTTCCCATCACTTTATCTCTTCACGAAGTTATGCGAGCTTCTCCTCATCGCCAAACCATTGCCAAGCTGTTCAACGACGGCATCTCCACCGGTGACATCGCTCGAAGACTTCTTCTTCCGAGAGCAACTGTCTATCGAGTTGTGCAACAATTGAAAGATCGAGGACATGTGTTGGAGCTTTAGAAAAGCGGAAGACCTCGTACTGTCAACACTCGCCGGACTCGTGGCATCATCAAGAAGAGAATCACACGAAATGATGCGGTCAGCATGAACCAAATGGCTTCATCGCTCGGAATCTCAAGACAATCGGTTCAATCCATTGTGAAAAAGGACTTGGGTCTGAACAGTTATCGGCTCCTTCGTGGCCAATACCTCACAGAACAGTCCAAGAAGAATCGGCTCGAAAAAGCGAAAAAGTTGCTCGACGCACTCAAGGTGCGCCGCCTCTCTGAAGTCATTTGGACTGATGAGAAAATTTTTACGGTTGAGCCGCTTCCGAACCGACAGAATGCTCGGCAATTGTTGTCAAAGGACGAAGCAAAGTCCCCAAAACGTCGTCTGGCCTACAAGAGACTTTTTCCAAAGTCAGTGATGGTGTGGGCTGGATTGACGTCGGAAGGTAAAGTCCCATTGGTTTTCATTGATAGAAATGTGAAAATCAACTCGGATGTGTACCAAAAGTTGGTGTTGATGGATGTTTTACGTCCGTGGGTCACTAGCCACTTTGGCCAGCAACCCTTCATTCTTCAACAAGATTGGGCCCCGTCCCATGGCTCGAAATCCACGAAAGCTGTTCTCGACGCTCATTTCCCTGGCTACTGGGGCAAGGACATGTGGCCCGCTTCCTCGCCCGATCTGAATCCACTCGACTTTTCCGTTTGGGGATATTTGGAGGAAAAGGTGATGGCTCGATCGCACCCAAATGTGGATTCACTGAAGGCCGCTTTGCTCAAAGCATGGGATGATCTTGACGATGACTACCTCCGGCGCACCGTCGCTTCTGTTCCAGCTCGTTTGACGGTGTGCATCAAGGCCGAAGGCTCAAACTTCGAATATCTCCTCTGATATCTTTTCTATTACTATCATTTGTTGAAAAAATAAATCTGGTTCTTTTGTTGAAACTCCATTTTTGAAAATACAACAAAAAACAAGTGTCTCAATACTTTTCAGCCACCCTGTATTTCATTATTAGGTTTTACGTTAGTCCAAACAAAAACTTGCATAAATTTCTAAAGTTTTAATTTACGCTAACTTGATAGCTACAAGCTCAAAAACTACAAAATTGAAAACTACAAGTTTGAAAGCTACGAGTTAAAAAGCTAAAAGCTAAAAAGCTACAAGCTACAGGGCATGATTACCCGGACTCAAGTTTGTACTATCATAGAACTTGAGAAAACGTTGCATTGAACCCAAATTTGGAGTGAAATAATTAAAATAATTTATCAGTAAACTGACCAAGTTTCAAATTATTTTATCAACTTTGAGCTGAGTTATCACTTGTCAAAGTTGCTTCCTCTCATGAAAACCATAACGCCGTTCATCTTTGGACAATCATAACAACACCTAGACTTGAGGAATCGCTTTGAAAATTTTAGTAGCGTTCAATCAAACTTAGAATTACATTCCTATCAATTCCCGAACTTCTAGGATACTTATATTCAAAGATAAACCCATTTTTATCAGTCAGGATCTGAAATCCTTACTAGTTTTCTCAAAACAACATTCTTTCTAAAATTTTGGGATGCTTCAATTATCCCCAAATCTTCCGTGTAATCTGAATCGCATCATCTTTTGTCTTATTCCTTCATCAAGTTTGCATATCTAATTTCAAATCCTCCTCATTCCTCCCATTTCCATTCGATTCCAAGTCAATTCCATTTCAAATCTTCTCATTTCAGAAATCAGTTCATATCAAATCCATGTCTCATTCCATCTAATCCCACACAATCGTTTTTTTTTCTCGACTCAGCTTTTTTAATCTTCACAAACCTCGAAAACTTGACGTCTTGTTCAATTTCTTTTCGGTTTATGAGATGTAATTGGATGCTCGTTTTCTCTTTTTTTTTGTGGAGTTTGGAGGAATAAAACTGGTTTTAATAGAGCTGAATAGCCCAACAAGAGGTTTTGAATATCATAAAATGGGCATCGTTGAAGAACTCCAAAAACGGAAAGCTCACTTTTTAAATTGGAATGCAAAAAATCTTAATTTTCCGATATGATTTTGGAATCCTAGAAAATCTAGTTTATCGTTTTTTATATAGAAATTGCTGCACATTCCGGTGGATTCGGATTTCCGCATTGGAAAAAAGTTTTGAAATTTCAACAGAACCTGGAATAGAAGGCCCCCACAGGCTGTCAAGTTTGAGCTCATTTTTCTTGGCTCTCAAGGAAGATATCAAAAAATTTTCAACTGATGAAATGTTTGTGATATTACGATCAACAATTCATCAATTAACAGTTTTTTGATATCTTTAGCAGGAAACGAGATAAATTTGGTGAAAATTCAAAGTTTGGGGCATTTCTAGCATGTTTTACAGTAATTTTAGATGACAACAGTAAATTTTAATGTCAGAAAAACATAGTAGATTTTGTTAGATAAGAATGAAAATTCTCAAGTTCACTAAACAAAAATAGAGCTTCATTTCTGTAATAGACAAGTTTTTAGTACAAATTCATCCAAATGAGATACACCGCTTAAAATAGCCGTAACTCCAAACACTGTGCTAGTTCTGGAAATGATGGCACTTGGTTGGTTTCAAGCGGTATACCTAATCAGGATGAAATTGTATGGAAAAGCTGTCAACTACCAAATTAAAGCTCTATCTTTGTTTAGTATACTCAAGAAGCTTAAGTCTCATCCAACAAAATCTACCATACTTTTTAGACTTCTAAAGATGGTAATTTTCAAGCTCGGGCTTCGTACATGTTGCCCAGTCTATGGACAACCCGTGGTTCAATTTTAAGGGCAAAACCTCACAGGGTATTCAAACTACTGACCCAAAACTATAATTATCGGTCCTTATCCAAGCCAATTCTATTTTAGGAAATCTAAATGCCTGATTCTTTGAACGAGAAGAATGAGGGTGTTTCTAGAAAATCGTGTATATACTCAGTCTTAATCGCTTCTAATTATCTTCTCCATAACGCGCCTCTGCAAGTTTATCACTTTTCGAAAGAGTCATTTTGTTGTTCTACCCCCCCCCCCTCTCTCTTTTTCATTCTATTCTATCCTCTGTTTATAATATTACCCAAAACGGGGCATAGTTTTGCCAATCCAATCGTTTTTCATTTCGTCTAACCTCCTCCCACACTATTTCCATTGCCCATCACTCGTCATTCAACTTACCGTTCGACGTCGTCGTCCTTTTTTTTTCGGTATCCCCATCCAACCTTTTCTGTCCTTGCGTTTTCCGATACGACCCTCTCTCCTCGGCCAATCTTCCCCTTTTGCCATTTTAGAGTGATACGAATCACGCCTCGTTCATTTTTTTTGCCTTCTTCTTCTCTTCTCCCTACACAAAAACGGTTTTTGAAGAGAGACAGAAAGGACGGTGAGTGTGTATATGTGTTTACACTGTTTTACACTGTAACTTCTTCTTCTTTTTGCCCAGACACCCGCCACATTGGAACCCATTCTGTTTTTTGTTCATTTAAGTGTTTATTATTCTTTCTTACTATTATCATCAAGAACACTCCATTTTCTGGTTTTTAAGGGCAGATAGTTAGAGTCAAATGGCCTAGAAAAGGTCGAAACCTAGTCCACTGGTCATGTTTACTCACATTACCACTCGTCAAACTGAAAAAGTGAAAAATGAAAAAAAACCAGTTGATAACAGTTTTTTCCCAATCATCAAACACCATGATGAGATAGTCAAAGATATCAAACTTTATTTTGGGATCCTCGAAGTTTCAGATTCTTACTAAGAAAGTTCGATCCTCACTAAGAAAGTAAGATCCTCACTAAGAGAGTCAGATTCTTACTAAGAGTGTCAGATCCTTACTAAGAAAATTAGATTCTCACCAAGAAAGTCATATCCTTACTAAGAAAGCTAGATCCTTACTGAGAAAGTAAGATTCTTACTAAGAAAGTCAGATCCTTACCAAGAAATTTGTAACTTCTGGATTCAGAATCCTACCCTAAATGCTACAATGGAAGCCCAACCTCATACGTGCACTTCGAGCTCAATTATCTCGGTCCTTTTGGTAGATATCAAAAAGTAATCAATTGATAAAACTTTTATCATAACATCATCAATATTTTTTAGTTGACAGATTTTTGATATCTTTCATGAGAACCGAGTTAATTCCTCTCAAAAGGGGGGGGGGTCCGGTTTCCAGCGAATTTTAAATTGTACAACTTCAAAGTTCAAAAATTTTGCATTCCGCGAAATCTAACCCCCCTCTCGTATTAGTCGATTAGTCTGCATGTAATATGATAACAACGGAACCACTTCTAAGGTCATCCTCCCCATCCTAAACCATTTGTGTTATGATCTGACCGCCCATCCGTCTCACTAGTCTTCTCAAATGACCTCTAACCTTTTTTGGCAATTAGTCAAAACGGGAAAAGGAGAAAGATCTTGAATTGAAAAAGACTAACGAAGGTTAGGAGGTTTGAAAAACGATATAAAAAGTACAATTGTCAGTGTTTTATTCTTCTCCCATTCTGGGCAAAAAGTGAAAATAAGAAGAAGCTTCGCGACACTTACAAGTGGCAATCATCACCTCTCTCATCTTACACCTCCTTGACGTCATCTGAATACTTCTCGACACATTTTTTGACTGTGTTATGGCACGATTACAGTTTTTTGAAACAGTAACGTGAGTCATACGTTAGGACATCCGGGTAATCGGAAACACGAATTCCAAAGTTTTGAGATTTCGAATTTTAGAAACTTTTGAATTTTAAAATGAAACAACTAAAGAAAGGGTTTCTCTCTCTCTCTCTCTCTCTCTCTCTCTCTCTCTCTCCCTTTATCGCCCACGTAGCTCAGCTAGTAGCGGCGGTGCACCTTCAATAATTGTCCCACAAGTTCAATTTCTCGAGAGACTTATATGGACGAAATTTCGAGACATCTATTTTTCGTAATGTCCTTCCACCGTTAAGGATTGGGTAATTCATATATTGGAATTCTGAATTTTCAAGAAACCTGTCTAAACTTACTTTTTCTTCACTATTCTTCTTGTCCTTCTGATAACCGTAACCCAGAAATCAAACGATCCATGACCCACGTCATCTTATCCTCGAATATCCACGGATTTCTCCTTTTTGGTTCCGATCCATCAAGTAACTTTCTCTTCATCCTCTTGAATCCCACTTCCTTCTCCCTCTTTCACTATTTCTTTTATCCGCAATTCTCCAATTCATTTTTTTTTCTCTCTGCATTTTTTCGTTTTGGCATTCAACCTGCTCTCATAATCGGATTAGGTTAGACGAGTGAAGGAGGTTTTTCCAAGAGAATGAGGTGAATCCATTGCCAACAAAAACACATGTTTTTTGGCAAGTTCTATGTACGTATGAATCTGTATGTTTGTTCAAAACCACCCATCGAAACCAGTTTCTACAATCCCAAAGGTCGCCGTCACGTCACAAGACCAAAGCTTACTACGGAGAAAAAAGTCTCCAAATGGGAATAACCAAATCATTGAAATCACATTTTTTTTCTGCTAAAAATAAATAGGTTTAGCCGGTGTCGCCCTTGGAGACTTCAGCAAAACTTTAACATTTAATCCTGATTACATAATCATCATTCGGCTTTGTTGGCTCGATGAATTTCTGATTGAATTTTCATTCTATTCTTTCTGATTGAATTTTCATTCTTTTTCGAAACTTTTCGGGATGTCAAAAATTTTGAGTTTTGAAACTTCGGAATTTCAGAATTTCGGAATTCCGCATTCTCATTAAGATCTAATTTCAAGAAAAGGCCTTCCTTCATTTCCGGTCAGAAAATACCGAATTTCCAGAATTTCCGGAATTCCGAAATCCGTTTCGAACATCCTTGAATTGATCACTTCTTGCACGACTTCCAAACTTTAATCTCGAATTATTTAAATTTTAAAAATTC